CGCAATCAGTGATCGCAATCTATTCCGGACGTTTCGGCAACAGTTTCTTGCCATCTTCAGCGATGATACAAATACATGTTTCGATTGGAAAAATATATATCCAAGGATAAACACAACCTTCGGCCAATAAAGTTCTTCAGCTTCTTGGTTACGGTATAGTTGTCTGAATCTATTTTAGTATTAAAACATTTGTACATAAATTTTCTAAAAAAAAAAACTAATACGCATTGTAACTAACTTTTCCAGAGAACTAATACGTAAATATTGGAATAATAATTAAAAAATTTTTCAATATGTATAATTGACCAATTATTATGCTTACCCTCAGATTAGCGCAAAAAAAAATTTTATATATGTATGAATCCAAATCAGCCTCTCTCACAAACATCATTCTTATTTTTGTGAACGAAGTACATCGAATTAATTAAAAAACATTATTTTCTGATCCAATAAATAATTTAACCATATTGATAGTGTCATGTTCTTATGACTGTTGAATTTAAACTAAGACAAGGAACTTAGTCTATATGTAATGTGACTTTCAAATCTTATTATTATTCTTGTCATTATTTATTAGATCTATGTATGCTTTGTTTAGCATTTCTGTGTCTGTCCTTAAATTTAACCCGTTAGACTGTTTTTTAATAAAAATCATCTCTGAAACTATGCGTCTATTATACCATCTTTCCTCATCCAAGACAGAAACATTTTCCCAATCAAAATCGTGATTATTCATTTTTCTATGTTCTGAGACAACAGAAAGACTAGCCGATTTACCCAATAATTGTTTTTTGTGTTCATTAATTCTGGTCTTTAATTTTCTTCCTGTTTGCCCCACATATGAAGCATCACAATTATTGCAATTAATTTTATAAACTACGTTCCTTTTTTGTTCAATAGTTAATTTATCTTTTTGTACTTTAATGTATTTGTTTAATTTGTTAAAACTGTAAAATGCAACTTTTTGGTTAAAATTATTTTCAAATAAATTTCTAAATTTATTGGCTGTCTCTTCTATGTATGGCACACAAAACCATCTAATTTTATCTTTTACTTGTATTTCCTGTGTGATCTTATCTGTCTCAGAATTAGTCTGTAATTTATTGTACTTTTCTATCAAAAATTTTATTCTTTTATTTATATTTTCGAATATGAAACTAATGGGATAATCGTTCTGTATCAAAATTTTAATTATCAAACTCAGATTTTTAGTGTGAAACCTTGGATGAGAAAGATGAAACACCTTATC